ACTGTGATACCTATTACTGTTATCCCGGTAACCTGCTGTGAAGTTCTGTACCAATTTCACTGTAAGACCTTAGTTGGCTTTATTCTGATTTGTTCTGTTGTATACTTTCAAAATAAAATTAAAAAAAAAAAAAAACAATACTCCGTGTGACAGGAATCCAGAAAAAAACAAGGGTAGATATTAGATTTGAAGAAAAGCTGATTTTCAAGCCAAGACGACTAAGAGATAGAAAGAAGGTCACTACATTCTCATAAAGGGCACAATCCAAGAGGAAGAGATAATAATCATAACTATATATACAACAAATACCAGTGCTCCCATCTATATCAAGCAATTACTAATAGACATGAAAAATCAAATAAGCCTAATACAATTGTATTGAGAGACCTCAATACTCAACTGTCACAACAAGACAGATCAACTAGACAAAAAAAATCAATAATAAAATATTAGAACTAAATCAGACTTTTGAAAAAATGGACCTAATAACTGTCTATGGAGTGTCCCAACCCACTACATCAGAATACACATTCTTCTCAGCTGCACATGGGATAATCTCCAAAATAGACCATATACTGGCTCACTTAACACACTTAAGTAAATGCCAAGGAATTGAAATTATCCCATGCATACTATCAGACCACAGTGCAATGGAACTGGAAATTCATACCAAATGAAACTATGAGAATTTCATGAACATACGGAAATTAAGTAACACCCTACTGAACAACCAGTGGCCACAGATGGAAGTAAAGAGGAAATCAGACAGTTCTCACAGTTGAATAATAATTACAACATACCAGAACTTGTGGGACACAATGAAAGTAGTCACAAGAGGGAAATTTATAGCAGTAAATACCCATATCAGGAAAACAGAGCAAGCACATATAAACAACTTAATGTTCAACCTCAAACTTCTAGAGAAAGACGAGCAGGCTAAACTAAAAGCTCATACAAGAGAGGAAATTACAAACATCAGAGCAGAAACTAACACACAGGAGACTAAAAAGCAACACAAAAAATCAGTGTATCAAATTTTGAAAATGAAATAAAATTGGCAAAACCTTAGCCAACTATATCAAAAAAGGAAAGAAAAGACTCAAATCCATGCAATTAGGAGTGTAAAGGGTGAAATCACAGCAGACTGCAGAAATCCTGAAAAGCATCTATACCCAGTTTGAAAACTTGTATTCTATTAAGATAGAAAATACAGAAGAAATGGACAGATTCCTGGACACATATGAATTACCTAAGCTGAATCAAGAAGATATAAAATTTCTAAATAACCCAGTATCAACACATGAAATCAAAGATGTAATTAAAAACTTAGCAACAGAGAAAAGCCCAGAACCTGACAGGTTCACTGCTGAATTCTATAAGAAATTTAAAGAAGACCTAACACCATTATTTCTTTTTCAAATTCTTTAATGAAATTGAGCGGGAAGTAATACTTCCAAAATCATTCCTGAAAGCAAGCATTACCCTGATACCAAAAACAGAGAAGGAACCAACTAAGAAAGAGAATTACAGGCCAATCTCCCTAATGAACACTGATGCAAAAAGTCCTCAATAAGATATTGGCAAACAGACTGCAGCCAATTGTCACAAAGATCACTATGATTACTATGATCAAGTGGAATTCATCCCAGGGATGTAGGGATGGTTCAACATACATAAATCCATAAGTGTAATACACCATATTAACAGAGTCAAGGACAAAACTCATATGAGCATTTCAATAGTTGCAGAAAAATCTGACAAAGGCCAGCACCCATTCATGAAAAAATTGGAATAGATGGTCTTTATCTTAACCTAATAAAAGCCATCTATGACAAACCAACAGCCAACATCATACTAAATGGACAACAATTAAAAGCTTTCACCCTAAAATCAGGAAGAAGACAAAGATGTCCACTGTCTCCATCCTTATTCAATAATAGTCCTGGAAACTTTAGCTAGAACAGTTAGACAAGAAAAAGAAGTAAAAGGAATAAAGATAGGAAAGGAAGACGTTAAATCATTGTTATTTGCCGATGACATGATACTCCACTTAGAAGACCCCAAAACTCCACCAAAAGACATTTAGATTTAATAAGCAAATTCAGTAATGTAGCTGGCTACAAAGTCAATGCTCAAAAATCAATAGCCTTCTTGTATATGAGCAACAAATTCACTGAGAGAGGAATCAGGGAAATAATACCTTTTACAATAGCATGCAAAAAAATGAACTACCTAGGAGTCAATCTAACAAAGGAGGTAAAAGACTTCTCCCTTGAAAACTACAGTGATCTGAAAAAGGAGATTGAAGAGGATATTAGAAAATGGAGGGATATCTCCTGCTCTTGGGTAGGAAGAAGCATACAGTGAAATGGCCATACTTTCAACACTGTCATACAGATTCAATGCAATCCCAATCAAAATTCCAATAGTATACCTCACAGGGTTATAGAAAACAATCTGAAAATTTATCTGGAACCAGAAGAGACCTAGAATAGCAAAGGCAATCCTGTGCAACAAAGAGAAGACAGGGAACATCACAATCTCAGATTTGAAATTATACTATAAATCTACTGTGATAAAAACAGTGTGGTACTGGCCCAAAGCAAAACAAACAAACAAGACCCGAGGATAAATGGAACAGATTAGAAGATGCAGAAACAACTCCAGACACGCTAAGCCTTCTTCTCTTTGACAAAGATGTTCAACACATTCAGTGGAAGAAATATAAGCTCTTTCATAAACGGTGCTGGAAAGACTGACTCTACACATGCCGATGATGATTAAAACTGGACCTGTATCTTTCACCATGCACAAAGATAAAATCAGAATGGATCAAAGATGTTAATATTAAAACAAAAATATTAAATCTGCTGGACAATTGAGTAGGTAAAACTGTTGAAGACATTGGTGTAGGAAAGACTGAACAAAACTCAGATTGCACAGGAAGTGTCACAAATAATCAACAACTGGAATCTCATCCTACTGAAAATCTTTTTCACAGCAAGAGAAACCACCAACAGAGTGAACAGACAACGCACAACGTGGGAGAAAAATTTTGCCAGCTGTTCCTCAAACAAAGGATTACTATGGAGAACATATCAAGAACTAAAAAAAAAAAAAAAATCAGTCCTCCCAGATTTAAAGACCCAATCCAAAAATGGCCATTTGAGATGAATACACAGTTCTCAGAGGAAGAAATACAAACAGCAAAGTTGTTGTCTAGACAATTGAATGCAGATGTCTTGTGCTCTGGGTGAATGATTTTGGGATGACAATTTAGAAGGAATGTACCATTTTTGCTCCTGATTAATATGTTTTGAAATTTTGTTGTAGTTTTTTTCCTTTTTATTCTTGAAATAAAATGGATTTGGAAAAATAAAGAAATTACAATTAAAATTGTAGTAAGATTTTTAATAGATATAATCAATCTGATTCTAAAATTTATAATAGGAACCCAGAGTGGTGACGTACACCTTTAGTTCTAGTACTCAGGGAAATCAAGATAAGAGGATTGAAATTTTGAGTCCATAGTGGGCAACTTAGTGATACGTTATCTCTTAAATCAAAAATAAAAAATCTGGGGATATAGCTCACTGTACAGACCCTAAGCTGGTTTCAATAGTCAGTTCAGTACTGAACAAAAATAAACAGAAATAAAAATAAAATTTATAATGGAGCTAATTTGTAGCACAGTGGTATGTATAATATTATAAATTTCTGAAAGAGTTTTCTGCACGGTTAGTAGACAGAATATAAAGTAAAGTGGTCTTTATTTTAAGAAAGAGGAGAGAAATGAAAGGATTTTGCCCTGGAGGGGATGCTGTAGTGGTGGGAGGCTGGAAGGTGAAAGGTCACCTTCCCTGCCCCTAAGCAATTTACCTGTGGCGCGAAATGAATTCCAATGGGCTACCTGTGCATCAGTAATGCCCCTTAGGCTCCACCCCACACCTAAGCTATATGTATGCCCCCACACCATGAGTCTGGCAGAGAGAAAGCCAGACCTCAGTGGTTGAGAAGTTCTCTCTCCGCATTCTTAAAATAAAGGCCACTTTACTTTATAGTCTGTCTTCTAACCGTGCTAAAAACTCTTTCAATTCCTGAGTTTAATACCCAGCACAGAAAAATAAAATAACATGAAAAATAAATAAAACTGAAGGCCAAAAGAACAGCTAAATAATTTTGAAAAATAACAAAATTGGAAAAATTACACTACCCAACTTTGAGGCTATTTTATAGTAACAGAAAGCAGAACAGGCATTCCGAGTAGACAAAGGAAAAGATTACAGTGGGACTAAAGGAAGATTTTATCAGTACTTGTTATGGCTTGTATCTAGATGTTCCCCCAACGCCTCATGTGGTTATTGGTGGGGCTTTCCTGAGGTAGCTGGATCTAGGCTGTATGATACTCGGATTAAGCAACCCCCGCCCCGGTGTGGGTGGTACTGCTCAAAAAGCAGGTAGCCTGGATGAAATATAAAGGCAGGTTTGGTTGCTGATACTGCTACTTCTTTGTTTTCCTCTCTTCTATCTGCCTGCTTTACCATGGACAGTTTCTGTTCTGTGATGACCTTCTGCCATACCACCCTACGTTGGAGTCAGTTTACTACAGATTGAAACCTCTACAAACTGTCAGCTGAAATAAACTTTTTCTCCTTTAGCTTTGGGTGTTGGGTATTTTGTCTCAGCAATAAAAGAAGTAACTAACACAGTGATAGATAGATTCATTATCTTGTTCCTGGAGCTGGTATCATTAATGTGTATATGTTAGATAACTTTATCAAGTTGTATATTTTAAATATGTGCAAACTAATCACAACTCAAAAGCTACTTTAAAAACAATTGCTCCAAAATGAACTATTACTTTTATATCCATCACGTGGCAGTTGGAACCATGGATTTTACCAGAGTGTTTGCAATTTTTGTAGCAGTATTTACCTTGTAAAAATAACATACAGAAAAAGTAATAACAAGTAAAAAAATAAGAACAACAAAAAGAATAATAAGATATCATCACAGTATATTTTATGACATTAAAGTGAAAATAAAAGGGAACATAATTGTAATTATATATTACTAAGTACCTACTAAGTTTTTATTAAGCTTTAGGTATACATTAAGTATGGAATATAGAATAAAGAACAGATATGGTCCTATTCCAATTCCTCTGAGCAATCTGCAAAGAATCAAGAGGCTGAGAGACAGTTGAACAACCCTTTGCCTTTCTATAGATGTCTTGGTTTTGGTTTGGCTTTTTGAGATAGGGTCTTTCTATGCAGTTCAGGCTGACCTTGAATTCACTATGTAGCTCAGGCTGGTCTCAAACTCATGGTGATCTTTCTGCCTCAGCCTCCCAAATGCTGAGATTATAGATGTGTGCCACATAGCTAACTCTACAGACCTTTTCATGGAAGGCTGTATAGTGTATTATCAAAACCACCTGTTATCCTGTTAAAAATGCTCTGTCTTTGAACAAATATAAATTAATGAGGCTGACGTCATAGCTCACAGTACAGCAAATGCTTACCATGTGGTAGGCCCCAGGTTCAATCTCCAGCACCCCTAAAATTACATATTAAAATTAACCCAGTTAATAATATCATTGCTTCATTTTTCTAACTAGATTGACATTTCAGCTCCAGAGTTCTCCAGTTGTCTTCAAACCTTCCTGCAGCAGGAAAGACCTGTCTCTCAGCCTGCATAGGGGTAGGGGGCGAGTCCTTTGACCCCGAGGCCAGTTATCTGTCGAAAAAAGAAAAGAAACTCTGACAAAAGATAAACACAAATATTCCTCAAAAGCATTTTATGATTCATAAGAATATATTCAGCTGCCCTGCTATCCTTCCTTTATTTTCTATTATAAATAGTTACTTAGCTAGGTGTGGCGGTGCCTATAATTCCAGCACTCTGGGAAACTGAGGCAGGAGGACTACAAATGAAAGCCCAGCCTGTGCAATTTAGCAACTTGACAAGACTCTGTCTCAAAATTTTAAAAAAATGGCTGAAGATGTAGCTCACTGTAAAGGTCCTAGGTTCAATCCATAGTATTAAAAAAGGAAGGAAAAGAAAAAGAATTACTTAATAAGGTATCACAGATATGTGTGGTGGCACATGCCTGTAATCCCAGCACTCAGGAGGCTGAGGCAAGATCATTGTGATTTTGAGGCTAGTTTGGGCTACAAAGTGAGTTCAAGCCCAGCCTAAACTGCATAGCAACACCCTGTCTCAAAAAAAAAAAAAAAAAACAAAAAACCACCCAGAACTATTCAATAAGGCATTTATGGTCTAATCCAATTACTTATATAGATTATAATACAACTAGCAACCACTATGATTTAGATTTTAAAAGTCGAATGTATTTCTATTATCTTCTTCCTTTTTAAGAAGGCTTTTCCACATTTATACATTTCAGCTCAAAAGGTCATTGATTTCTTTTTTATATCACTGTTCTGTTGCGAAAAGATGTTTGTTAAAAATTTGTCAATAGATGGGTGTAGTGGTGTAGTCCTGTATTCTCATCGCTTGGAGGACTGAGGCTGGAGTACTGCTTGAATTCAAGACCAGCCTGGGCTATATAATGAGTTCAAGGACATATGTGTGTCAGCCTGTCTCAGTGCCTCCCCAAGTCCTTAAAAGTACTCTTATAACATCAAAACAAACAAGTGATTTTATAAATGTGTTTCTAGCACTGGGTTTCCAAGCTTATCAATGCTAATGTGAAGGATTTCAACAAATACCACTGAAGCACAAAAAGTATTTTAGAATATAGGCGCTGGGGATTTAGCTCAGTGGCATAAGCACCTGCCTTGCAAGCAGGCAGTCGTGAGTTTGATCCCCAGTACCGATAAAAAAAAAAAAGTATTTTAGAATATTGTACAAAGTATGCTAAATAGATCATCCTAGACTTCAGATAACCAACATTCTAAATAACAGTGATGGCAAACCTTTTACTGCTTTCAGTGATATAAACAGCCTGCTGCAGCACACGTGCCCCATAGGTTTGCCACCATTGGTCCAGAATATCTAAAATATTGTCAGGTCTAAGGTGATAAGCTTAACATGCTAAATTGAATTAGATTTTGGAGGACTGCAAAGCACCAGTCACTGAGACACTTCACAGAGGAGTCTTCACCTCATTCCCCCCTCAGGGAAAGAGCCATATCACCTTGAAAACTCCTCCAGCTTCAGGTTGCTTCAGAAGACCCTGAGGGTCTATTCCATCTCGGCCACAGGTCACATACATTTCAGAGTAGTCTTTCCCTCCAAAGCAGCATGAAGTTGTTTTCTCAACAGGCAACTTCACAGTTTGAAGTCTTTTCCCTAGATTACCAAATATTTAGTGTTTAGTTCTAGCAATTTCCAGCCTTTGCAGTATTTCTAGAGGCTTTGCAAGGAAGCAAAGGTGTTCTAAAGAAGATTGGAGGTCTTGCATATATTAACTTGTCTTTCTTGAAAAATTCTTCTTTTTTTTTGTCTTTTTGAGACAAAAGGGCCCCACTATGCAGTTCAGGCTGGCCTTGAGCTCACTTTGTAGCCCAGGCTGGTCTCCAACTCACCACAATCCTCCTGCCTCAGCCTCCCAAGTGCTGGGATTACAGGCATGAGCCACCCCACTGGGCTTCCTTGAAAAATTCTTTGGGGCAAAGAAAGCTCCCCAGGAAAAAGAAATTCTAACTAAATTTTGGGTATAACTTTGGCCTTTATTTCCAAGGTTATTTGGTTGAGATCACCGACTAGATATCTCTCTTTATTAGTAACAAGGTATCCCTGGTCCCTAGTATGTGGTGTTTTCTAGACATGTCAGGGAGGGTGATTTTGCTGTGGGCCTACCTGTCACAGGATCTATACGGATCACTCTTCCTCCATTGTAACAGGCCACCCACAGTTTCCCCTCCGCATCAATACACATCCCGTCTGGGATGTGCTCATCTTTCTCCAGTTTGTAAACACTTCTGCGCTTGGCTAAAGTTCAAAAACAAAAACAAAAACAGAACAAAATAACAGGTTACTCAGTACTGAGAATGGGACAATGAGCTTTCAAAGTGATTATAAACACTGATTGCTTCTGCTCATCCAGGGTCTAGCATATGAATAGAGGACTTTGCTACATGTTTTGGAGTAGATTAATTCCCTTTTTTTGTTTGGGTACAGACGCATCTGCCTATGTTTTCAGAGGAGAACAAAAAAAAGCAAGCAGATTATTTTCAGTCAAGGCCTTGCTTAGTAGTTCACACTGTCTTGAACCTACTATGTAGCCTAGGTTGGTCTCAAACTCATGGTGTCCTCCTGCCTCAGCCTCCAGAGTACTGGGAGAAAATTCTTTTTTTTTTTTTGGTATCAGGGATCAAACTCAGGACCTTGTGCTTGCCAGGCAGACCCTTATGCCGCTGAGCTAAAATCCCCAGCCTGAAAATTCTTAATAAAATACTAGTAGGTAGTTTTCTCTGAGGCTGACCCGAATGAGGTCCTATAGGCCCATTTCAAGTACTTGGACTTTTGCTATTGTAGTTATAAAAATGCCTGTTTTAAGCCCAAGATGTAAAAGGCAACACAATGGTGCCACATAAACAGTTCATGCACAAAAACTGGGAAGACAGATGAGTTCTTTCTCTGCCTGATGAAATGTGCCTGAATCAAGACTAAAAGCCAGGTGTGGTAGCACATGCCTGTAATTCCAGCACTCTGAAGGTGGAGGAGGTAGCACTACACGTCTGAGGCCAGTCTGGGCTAGATAGTGAGACCCTAACAAAAACAAAAACATCAAGACTAAATATCAGAAGAACTTGTTTCCAAAAAGAGAGGTATTCTAATACCCACCGGCTGGTTAAAGGGAGAAACCACAATATACAAAAACAAACAAACCAAAGGAGCAAACTAGGTATGGTGGCACAGGCATACAAGTCCACTGTTCTGGAAGCTGAGGCAAGAGCATTGCAAGTTCAAGCCTCGCCTGGGCAATCTTTTGGGGGGGGAGGGGTGTGTACTGGGAATCAAACTCCGGACATTGCACTTGCCAGGTAGGTTCTTGTTCTGCTGAGCTATATCGCTGGCCCTAGCCTAGGCAATTTGGCCCTTAGTGAGACTCCGTCTCAAAATAAAAAATACATTTTTTAATAAAAGGACTAAGGAAGTAGCTCAATGTGAAGACACTGCGTTTAATACTCAGTATTGTGAGAGAAAAAAAGCCAGAGGAAGGGACAACTGTTGGAGGCTCATACTTGTAATCCCAGCACTTGGGAGGCTGAGGCACAAGGATTGTAAATTTGTGCACTCCCTCACCCCCGTAGGGCTGCATGGTTAGAGCCTGTCTCAAAACAACAACAACAAGAAAGTAAAACCAGAGATGTAGTTGAGTGCCAGAACAGAGAGATGGGACCCTGACTTCAATCCCTAGTAAAGAAAGAAAAAAAATCCCAATCACTACACTAACCCAATTGGAGTATAATATGAAAATTGTTAAAACTATGCGTAAGGAAAATGGATTAAAATGCTATAAAAATGAGTGGCACATATTTTTTCCTTCTTTTTTTTTTTTTTGGAGACAGGGTCTTGTCAAATAGCCCAGGCTGGCATTGAACTCACAGTGATCCTCCTGCCTCAGCCTCCCAAATGCTCAGATTACAGGTGTGAGCCACCACGTCTGGCTAATATTTTTTTTTTTTATAAAAGGATGATTTTATTATATATTAAAATTTATGTGTAATGGCTAATATTTCAAAGCAAAATATGGTGCTGGAATATTTTACGTCTGATTAATCTACACAAAGAGTGATGATTTTTTTCAAGTCATTTTTATGATTAGTTTATTTTTTTTCAGTTTCAAGGACCCTTCTAATTCTTATTCTTCTAATTCTTATCCTCCCAGTTTCTAAGAATACCTCATTTACAACACACCAATGCAGCTGAACCAACCTCTATTTTCTTCGTGTTTCCATTTTCAAAGGTTATCCATTTTGCCTCTGAGTACTTACCTATATCATTAATTAAAGTAAAAATAACAAATAGCAGCCCAACCAGGTACAGTGACATGTGCCTATGATTGAAGCGACCTGAGAGGCTGAGGCAGATATGAGACCAGCCTGGGTAACATAGTGAGCCATTTCTCAGAATAAAATTTAAAAAGAGGGATGGAAGTGTAGCTCAGTGTAAAGCATTTTCCAGTCCATACAAGGCCCTGGATTGAATCCCCAGTACTGCCAAAAGAAAAAAATTAGTTGGCCAGGCATAGTAGTACATACCTATAATCCCAGGACTCAGGAGGCTGAGGCAGGAGGATCACCATGAGTTTGAGGCCACCCTGGGCTACACAGTGAGTTCAAGTCCAGCCTGAGTTAGACTGAGACCCTAAAGCTAGCAACTCAAACTGAAATTGTCTACTCTTTTATCTCATTCTATAATCACCTTCTGATAGTACAGGATTTATTTTCTAGTGAGCCCCTTCCAATGATGGTGGAAGAGGATTAAGCTTCTATCCTCATTAGACCAATGATGACCATACTTTCATTGTGCTGAGAGGAATAGGCTGACCAGAAACTTATTCAAGTCTGTATAATTATTATTATATTATAATAACAGTATTGGAAATCTCTCTCCATGAGTTGAGAGTTGCCTTACTAGTGACAAGCATCTGAAAATAATAGCAGCAGAGTGAAAAAAATAATAAAGTACATACAGATTTGTCCTGTCTGCAGGTCATAGTCAAAGGCATCCACGGAGTAAGACAGGCTGTCGATGTAATAGAAGATTTTGTGGTCCAGGGACCAATCCAAACCATTAGAGATGTCTACCTGGTCAAAGTACTTCTTCACATGGTGGTCAGGAAAGAGGGAGTAGAGCGCCCCCTGGTGCCGCTCGAGAACTGCTGGGTCAGTTCCCTCAGCCATGGTGCCTACAAAAGCCAAAAGCCAGGATCATCCCCATAACATCTTGCCCATGTATAGGACCTTAAATCTCACATCAAGGCTCTTTTCTAAGGCGTAAAACATGAAAATTACTATACATTTGTTATCGGGGTCTTATGTTTCTATAAAATAACAACTACTACTGGTGTGATGCCTATAATCCCAGCTACATTAGAGGCTGAGACAGGAGGGTCTTAAATTCAAGATCTGATTGGGCTAGCCTCTGCCAAAAAATAAACAAATAAATAAATAAATATGTATAGCTGGGGATACAGCTCGATGCTCCCTAGGTTTAATCCCTAGTACTGTGAAAAATAAAAATAAAAAATACAAATATCTTGTTTATAATGCAAATTAACAGTATGCTGAGAAATTCTGGTTCCAATAAGAAAGAGTAAACATGAACCAACCTCATATTTTCCTATTGAGCACAACTATAAAACTGAGGCAACACTTATGGTACAGCTACTTGAGAAATTTGAAAACATTAGTAGGCAGCTCAGGGAAGAATAGCAGATTTGGATGTGCCACCTAATTGGTGGTGAGCTCTCTATTTTCTTCTTCAGTATCTCCCAGCTTGAAGTCAACACAGTTTGAAATCCGGAGTGGGGTACAGGGGTGCAGACAGAGATCTAAGAGAAACCCTCTAGATCCGGCTCAAGCAGCATAAATAAATCCTTGGGTTGGGGGGTGTAGCTCAGTAGTAGTGCACTCACCTTGCATTCACAAGGTCCTGGGTTCCTCCTCAGCACCACACACACACACACACACACACACACACACACACACACACACAACTCCTGAAGCTCAGGAGGAGTGGAGGAAACCACAAAGTTAGTTTCTACTCCTTTTTCTCTACTGTCCCATGCACCCAGGCCCCAGATCATTCTTCAGCAGAGGAAGTGGAGAGAGTGACCAGCAATAGGAAACTTACTACCATCAAAACTCTGAGGGAAGAGGACATTCCTCTCTATATGGTAAGGCTACGTGCAGCTCCAAAAGGGAGATCCAACCACTATTGTTTTTATTTATTTATTTTGTAGTACTATGAATTAAGCCCAGACTCTTCACATGGAGCTTCATTCCTAGGCTCCCCACATTTTCATTTCTTATGTTGAGACAGGGTATCTTTAAATTGCTGCTGGGTTGGTGATTCATGTTTATAATCCCAGCATTTAGGAAGCTAAAGCAGGAAGATCACCATGAGATCGAGGCCAGGGGTACATAGGAAGTGTAAAACCTGCCTAAATTACAGAGAGAGACTGTCTCAAAGAGAAAAATAAATACTGTCAGGGCTGAGCTAAACTCTGGAATCCTCCTGCCTCCCAGATTGTTGGGTTTAGAGGTGTGTACTACCACACCTGTCAATTTTATGGTGTGTGTGTGTGTGTGTGTGTGTGTGTGTGTGTGTGTGTTTGGTTCAGTTTTTGGATTTTGGATTTTTGAGACAGTGTCTCACTATCTAGTTCCGGCTGGTCTTGAAATCACTATGTAGCCATATTGGCCTTGAACTCACAGTGATCTGATTGCCTCAGCCTCCTGAGTGCTGGGATTACAGGTATGCACCACCATGACTGGTGCTTATTCTTTTTTTTTTGGTAACGGGGATTGAATTCACAACTTCATGCTTGCCAGGCAGGCACTTATACTACTGAACTAAATCCCTGGCCCTCCTGGTGCTTATTCTTTTTTTTAAAAAATTTAACTCTGTGACTGTAATACTCTTTGCACATCTTCCTGTTGATTGGCCCTGAAGGCAGCACTATTATAGGAGTGGCCAGAGGAATGCGAAGAAGGGCTTTGAAAGACAGGTAGTTGCTTAAGAATACAATCCCATAAAGCTGTTTAGGAATTCCTAGGCTCATCTTCAGTTTGTATATACATGGATCAGATTCTAAATTTAAAAACCTGAAGATTTTTGGAGTAGAACTAATGGATAGAATTCTTCCTATCCCAGACTGACCACTGAGAGGCACACATGTGTAGCAGAGCCCCATAACACCTAATGGAAAGCAGGCTGGAGCTTGCAGCCTCACCTCAAATATACATATATATTGCCTGCTAAAACTACTATAACAAGTTTATTCAAAGGATTTAAAGAGAACTCAGGGCCTAATTATATAATATTCAAAATGTCTAGGATATAACCATAATTTACTCAATGCTAGAGATAGACATGCCTATAATTATGGCATGCCTGTCATTCCAGCTACTTGGGAGAAGGATCGGAATGTCAACGGCAACCTGGACAATTTAGCCAAAACTGTCACAAACAAAGTAGGAAAGAAACAGACAAGGGCTTGGGATGTAGCTCAGAATCCTTGGGGTCACCTCTTAGTACTTAAAAAAATAAGGCTGGGCATGGTATTGCAGGCCTGTAATTCCAGTCCTCTGGAGGCTGAGACAGAAGGATCGTAAGTTTGAGGCCAGCCCAGGCTACATAGTGAGACTCTGTCTCAAAAAACTAAAAAAAGTTACTTGGTACTGAATTTGGATACTGAATGGCCCAAAGGTCCACTTTAAAGGCCTGGTCTCCAGGGTACTGCTACTGTAACCTCAGTAGGCCTTATGGGCAATCCTTAGGTCTGAAGAAGATTGGGAGACCTTGGCTGGTCCAGTTGCCCTTTGTTTACTAGCTCATGAGTAAGTAATTGTTCCACTCTGTGTTCTCTCTATAACATGCTACCTTGCCAAGGCAATAGGACTACTCAATCATAGACTGGAACCACAAGCTAACATAAATCTTTTTTCTTTTTCTTTTTCTTTTTCTCCCACTAATACTCCTTATCTCCTTTTAATACACACTTGGAAACACAAAGATACTGGAAAATCTCAACTTGTACAAAAAAAGTCAACAAATCAAATCAAAGAAATCAATGAATGTTGGAAATGATATGGCCTAGATGTTGGAATTGTCAACGACTAATGCAACCACCATAGAAACTTAAATTATTATCAAGTCTTGGAACAAAACTCAAAATAGAAAATCATAGCAAAGAAGTAGAAGATATGAAGAATAATCAAATGAAAGTTTTACTTTTTGTTTAGTTTTTTCTTTTTCTTTTTTGAGATAGGGTCTCTCTATATAGTCCAGGCTGGCCTTGAATTCATTGTATATCCCAAACTGGCCTCAAACTTGTGGCAATCTTCCTGTCTCAGTCTCCTGAGTGCTGGGATTACAGGTATGCATCAGCATGCCTGGCTCAAATGAAAATTTTAGAATTCACTGGATTTAGTCATCAATAATAGGACAGTGATGACAGAGGAAAGAGTCAGTGTACCTGAGAAGGGATTAACAGAAATTATGCAATCTGAACAACAGAGAGGAAAAAAGATTGGAAGAAAAGGAATGGCACCTCAGGGATCCACAGGACAACAACAAAAGGGCTAATGCATGTCTAGGATCCTAGAGAAGAGAGACACAAAATCTGAAGATTACTTGGCTCAAAATTCCTCAAGCTTGGTGGAAAGTGTAAAACTAGATTTAAAAAACAGAACAAATAAAAAATAGGACAAACACAAAGGAATCTACACCCAGACACATTGTAACCAAGTTACTGAAAACTAAAGTCAAAACAAAAATGCTTTAAAGCAATAAAAATGCTACAAATGAAAAAGAAAAAATGACACACTACATATAGGGGAATAATGATTTCAAGGCCAAAAATAATTACATATTGAAAATGTCAATTCACTAAGAACTATATAGTTATTTTACATGTGTATGTGCTTAACAACAGAGTTTCAAAATACATAAAGTGAAAGTTGTCAGAACTGAAAGGAGAATTAGAAAAATACAGACTTATAGTTGGAGACTATCAATATTCAATTTTCTTCATACTATCTGCCTCACAGAAAAGATGCCTAGGGTGGGTGCAGTGGTGCATGCCTATAATCCCAGCTATTCAGGAAGCTCAGGCAAGAGAATCATAAGTTTATAATTTATTTATTAGTGTTTTTGAGACAAGGTCTCACCATCTAGTCCAGGCTGGTCTTGAACTCACTATGTAGCACAGGCCAGCCTTGGAATCATGGTGAGCCTGCTGTCTCACCCTCTCAAGTGCTAGGATTACAGGCATGTGCCACCACATCTGGCTGACAATCACAAGTTTAAAGCCAGTTTTGGCAACTTAGAAAGATCCTGTCTTGGGGCTGGGGATTTAGCTCAGTGGCATAAGCGCCTGCCTTGCAAGCAGGCAGTCGTGAGTTCGATCCCTGGTACCAATAAAAATGAAAAAGACAAAAAAAAAAAAAGATCCTGTCTTAAAAAAATTAAAAGGACTGAAGATGTTACTTAGTGGTAGAGCTCTTGCCTGACATTCGTGGTGCTCTGTGTTCAACTGTAGTACCACAAACTCAAAAATTTCATTCAGGCAATAATTAACAGTGAATATAAGTCAGGTGTGGCTAACCTGAGCTACATAGTGTTTCAGGCCACCATGAACTGCATAGCACGACCCTGTCTCAAAAAACATTTAAAAAAAACAGTAAATATAAAAGCAAACGAGACAAAAAAGGGAAAAATCAAACAAAAACAAAACATAAGGAGAGATTTGGGTAAGGATCAGAGTATTTATGTTGATTTAAAGAATCTCTCCATAGCTGACCTCAAGACTGCTCCTAAGAATCCCTGCCTCCCAATATTCACAGCCTTGTACAGTCCTCTCCATTGTCTCATCATTACCTAGGTGATCAGTAGCACATGGTAGAATTGATGGTATGTCACTTCTAAGATTGACACCTCTTAAATTTCTCTCCCTCTCTTTCACTGTTAATTCTTGCCTGAATGAAATTTTTCTGGGAAAAGAGAGTCATGTCCTGAGCAGTCCTACTGAGAGGCCCACATGGTGATGAAGTGACGCTTTTTTCCTGCCTGAATGAATTTGGAAGCATATCTTTCAGGTCCCTCGTTGACAGCTTGACTACAGCCTGCACTGGAACCATCCACCTAAACCACATCTACATTCTTGACCTTCAGAAACTATGT